TTGGGGGTATGACAGGAAATCAAAATGCTTAAGGAATTGAATAAGTTAGTTTGAGTAGTGCTCAAGTACATGACCACGAGGTTCAGACTGTATAGTTAAGGAAACTGTCAGTGAGACTGACTGTCTGGAAGAACAGGTCTTGGTAGATTTAAAAAATGGGTTTAGGGAGAATAAGAAAATGAGCACTTAACACAAATATGTATCAAAGGGTTTTGCTATACGCTTTTACACTTAGAAACCTAGACCAGAAACACTGGGGCCCTACAAGAGTTACCTGCTGGGAGCTGCCTGGGGCCTTGACACAGCTCACTATCACTGGGGCTTGATAGGCCTTGAGCAGAGGAAAGCAAGTGCCTGCTGAGGGCTTTGACTAGCACCAGTGGTGGAAGCTGCTGTTGGAAGTAGGAGACAAAGTTTATACAGTAATTTCTCCTACATCCCCATTTTAGTCCCCCCTTAATGTTAGATCAGCAGAAGTTGCTGGCTTTAAAAAATAAGAATGCAAAATTTTCCCTAGAAAATATAATAAAGTTAGAGGCCCAGAAACCTTTGCTGAGAACCTGAGCCAGATACAGAGACCTTGAATTGTATGCTGCTCTCAGATCCTGGGAGAGCTGTGGGCTGGGGGGCCTAAAATACAGCACACAGAGAGATCTTAGTGGCCTGCTAGAAGGCTGTCAGTGGCCACCTGGTGTCAGAACATCAAGTCCTCATGCCCTAAAGTAGTACATTTATACTAGTACTTTATGATTACAATTCTAAATTTGGACACATATAATCTACTATGTTTGCACAAATATTCTAGTCTATTCTACCTTACTAGGGAGGTTAAGGACCTGGCTTTTAACATTAGCCATAGAAAAGAATTGTGGTGATGAGAAAACTGTCTAAAACAAAGACATATTTTTTAATTGTTATTTAAACTTTTCAAAAGTTTAAGTAATTTTAACTCATATTTAAATGTTACCCAAGCACAATATCTAATAAAGTCAAATTATTACACATTGTAGTAAAAATTGTAGTTTTTTTGCCAAGGTATCATTGAAGTACACTGTCTCGACTACCACTAGAGGTCAGCACTTGACTCTCGATGTGATTCTGTGGGAGGGAGAAGACTAATTTTCTGAAACTATCATTTATGGTTCCTATTGTTATCTCATGCCATCTGTCTTTAATCACAAATGTGACTGTGGATCACATAGAACTAGAAAATATCCTAACAGTTGCTGGGGAGACCTGCTTAGATATTCCATCTGCCAATGGGAGGAAATCATAGGACTCTTGTCATGCGGCCTTCAGAGGTCCCTGGGTGGTGTCTTGTTGTCAAAGTACTTGAGTCATACACTATAGCTGCAGGTGTTTCAGAAACAACTGCACAGCAGGGGTAGTACTGGCATCATTATTTGCAGTTCCAAGCCAAATAGTGCCCTGACTTTGTTACTCTGTCCCCTATACAGGACTCTATACAAATCCTTGCTCAGTGGCTTCTGCATTCTTGAGCACTACTAACACTCTTGTTCCAGCTTTCTCTCAGCAACAAATGCATTAAAGTTTCTTGTGGGGAGGGCAACTGTATTGGGTACAAATTATGAAGCACGTCCTTTCACCCTAAATTCCATATGTGCTTTCTTGTTCAAGAGATAATTCCCAAGGGGGTGGGACATCAATCAACTATTTCCTTGAGCAGCTGTGTAATTTTGGCAGCTGCCCTGCCAGCCGTATTTCCCAAGAATTCCTCAGAGTCAAGACTATCTGCCAAAAGGAGTCAAAATGCTGCTGATGGCTAGGAATTGGATTTGTTACAAATGGAGGCGCTCCAGCCCTCTGAATTTGCTAGGTCCATTTTTGGGGGTGTGTGATAAATGGTTGATAGCATCTGCCTTTATGAGCTAACAAAGATCCAAACAGCTTAAAATATGATGGGAAGCCAGGATTCTCTGGCTAAGTCTGGGGCAGTGTATACAGTCTACAACTGAACCTTAGAAACAAGAAATGTACATAGAGGCATTTTCTACAGATCTCCTTCTTTCAAGTCAAAAGGAATAGCCCTTGGATTTGATCTGCTTAGATATGATCTCTGGAACTAGTAGGGGAAATGCTGCGATTGTATTCTACAACACTGAGAGAGAATTCCAGGATTATTGTACCATTAAAATTAATGTGTTTGAAGAATCCACTCGGAGCTTGAGGACTTTTTTCTTTCTTTTTTCCCTCTCTTGTTTGGTAGTAGGTCATTTAAGGGAATAAACTCTATAAACTTTCAACTATTAAAAGAGAACAACATTTGTAATGAGAGCTTAAAAATGCTTAGGGAAAGAAACCACACAAGTAATATATGTGTATTTTTAACAAGCAGAAATGAAGAATCACCTATAATTCCAATGTCAACTATAATACTGTTAATTGTGGCTATAACTTCCATTTTCATCTTTCTTTTCTACTTATTTTTCTGTTTTATTTTTCCTTATATAAAAACAGATAGACAAGTGTCTGTGTGTAAATGCATATATGCATGGTTGTGTGTCAAGGTCCCCAGAGAGTTCTGTATCACTAAACCCAGTGATCAATTCTTAGTCCTCATCATACATGACCCGTTAAAAGCATTTGACACAGGTAACCACTGTTATCCTTGAAATACTTTGTTCACTTGGATCCCAAGACACCATATTCTCCAGAGTTTTCCTGCTGTATCATTGAGCAGTCTTTTTTCATCTCCTCTCCTGGTTCTTCCTTCTTAAAGCTCAGTCTTTAGAATTCTCTTGGACCCACACTCTTGGGAATCTCTTCACTTGCATGGCTCTACATACCATCTACCTGCTGGAACTCCCAAACATTTATCTCCCATAGTAATTCTTGCCTGAACTCCAGGCTCATGTATCTCTTACCTCCCTTTCCACCAGCAAGTCTAATAGGCACCCCAAAGGTATCCATACCAGAATTCCAAATACTAGCAAACCATTCTCCATTACCCCCCAAAAATCAAATCAATAAATCTCTTGCCAACTCATTAAGCAGTAACTCCAAACTTCCAATTACTCAAATTTTCCAATTGCTCAAAAGCCAGAAGTTTGATACAATCCCTGATTCCTTCTTCTTTTGCATTCCACATCCAATCCATCTGCTAGCCCTCAAAATATATCCAGAATCCAACAACTTCTCACTATATCCTCTACCACACTGGTCCAAACCACCATGACCTTCTAAAAAAGTCTCCCCACTTTTACCTTTGTCTTCTCCAAGATGGACATCTCCTTCCAAAATTAAAGTCAGATTATACCATTCTTCTCAAAACCAATGGCTTCCCATATCACCTAGACCAAATGCCAAAGTCCCTGCAAGGGCTTACTAATATTCTGTGTGTCTTATTTTTTAAACTTAAAAATATATAGGAGGCAGCATAGTGGTGGTTAAGAGCATATGCTCAGAGTCAGATTAGCTGTGTGACACTAGGCAAGTTACTTAACCTCATGGTGGGAAAATTTTCTCATGTATAAAATGGGATCATTATAAAATTGTGGTGAAGATTGATGGGTTAACATGTATAACATGTTTACAATAGTATTGGCATATAGTAAATATTATTAAAGTTTTTAAAAATAACAAACTAGGCATTTTGTGCTACTGGCATGATTTCATCAATAAACTGGCACAGAAAAAATGTCTCAAATGGCCCTATCAATAAGGATTTACAGGTACACCAAATACCTCTCAAAAAGAAGAATGAAAAATGTTTTGGTTAAACAATTTAAATTGCACTATTATTGTTTAATTCTCTGTTTATTCTGAATTCAGAGTTGGAGTGAATTAGACACCATGATCTATACTTCTACATATGTTGGTACATTTTAAGCATCTGTACACTGAACTGCTTATTTACCTATTTCCTAACCAGCAATACTTTAATTCCTAAAACGGTGTCATTTTTTCCAGTTTATTCTGTAGACTGATGTATGAGGTATTTGATTTTTCTCCTCTATGTATGTCCTTTTATTGTTGCATTAAAATGAAACAATTTAATTCAAACCAATAAACAAAAGCTTAAGATGTATTCCTCAAGGTGAAAGAATAAGTTGTGGAATTTCCAGTTAAGAGTCATAAAATTGACTTTGCAGTAGAAAAATTCCTAGAGACTCAATTTTGAACATGGCTTTAATCATAATTTAAACCTGTCTGTAGAAGAAAGTCAGGGAAATGGTCACCAGCCAGAGCCTATCATAGCTCACTTTTTACATCCACTTTGTAGGATTTTTTAATACTCGAGTATAACTGAAGAATAAAGAATACCCCAAACTACCCCCACATCACACACACAAAATGCAGCACACACATACCCATACCCTTCAGGAACTGCTTTATAACCCACAGAGGAGAGAGGACTTTGTACTAGCAAGTACATTTCTGCAGATTATTTGGAGTGGAAAGACCTATTTGAAAAGAGGTCAAATTTACATCTGAAAACAAGGGATGTCATTGTATTTGTTCATAAAAACAACAGAGGATTTGTGAAAGGGTCATGATGTTTATTCAAGGGAGTATGAATCAGAGATTTTCTTTTTTTACATTTTTGTTTAACATTTAGAATATGTGGTGTGAAGTTTTGTTAATTCTGGAAGATTCTTCCAGTTCTCAATGGAATTTTTATGTAAGCTGGTCCTGTTACTGGTACTCTTAAAGGCCTTTGCATGTTGAGATGGGCTAATGATCAGCTTCCAGGTAAAAATAAACTTCACATGTTTGCTGACAGCAGAATGTCTCAGACTGAACAATTATGAAGCTATTGAGAATTCCACTGAGGATATGAGGGGAGGAATAATACTATTGTGCCTGCACATTAGAAACAAGGGACACTTAATGAAAAGTTCCTTTGTTAAATCAACATCAGTGTGAAACATCATTTCACAGTATTTGCATGTATAAAGGATGTAGGAATGAATGCCCTTCTAAAATGCCTTTGTAATTCCTGTTAAATAACACTTCTCCTCACTTTCTTATTTTAAAAGAAAATTGGCCCTGAAGCACCACCCAGACAAGAATCCATATGATCCAGCTGCTGCGGAAAAGTTTAAAGAAATCAACAAGGCCCATACCATACTTACCAACACATCAAAGAGAAATATATATGACAAGTACGGATCACTAGGACTCTATGTGGCTGAGCAATTTGGAGATGAAAATGTTAATACCTACTTCATGCTGTCAAGCTGGTGGGCAAAGGTGAATCAACTTTTATTTTCCTTCAGAAACAATTTCCTGGAAGATTATGATATTATTCACTCTTTTAGACTCCATCTTAAAGAAAGCTTAACCTTACTATGTTATTAAAATCTTGTAAATAAAAGGAGATAGTGCTTCGACTGAAAACTTTTATTGACGGGTTATTTTTGCTTTAGTTCACCAACTAATTATTAAATATGGCATGACTTAAAATACCTCTAGACATTAATTATTTCAAATTTGAAGCTTCAGGTTAATTCTGACTGCCCTCTGTCTTCCTATAATGACTAATTAAGAACTGACTCATCGCTCAAAAACCAAAAATAATTTATTAGTGTGACAACTGTTTAATAAATTATTACAGGACAAATTTAGCCTTGTGCTTTACTATCTATAGCATAGGCTCCATTAGCAAACATAGTACTCCGGGAATGCGTGGTAACTATGTCAGAGGTTCATGTGAAGCCTGCTGTGAGGTAGTGAAAGAAATGAGAAGGGAAAGATGAGAATTAAGTAGTGGCAGACAGGGAGTTGGAGAGCCAGAGAGAGGGAAAGAGAGAGAAAAAAGATATCTGGTCAAAAAAAGGCAATATTTTTAAGGACTTAAGGCAATCAGAATTGACTTTTGATGGTAAATTTTGTATGGTGTCCTAGGAAGTCCATAGTATATGTATTTGGTGATGGTTTTATATTTGCTTATAAGTTTTAATATACTTATCTTCTGATGAAAGAATATTTACATATGAACCATATATATATATATATATATATATAT